GAATGCACATTCACACGTCCCCTGCACGCACACACAGGCTGAAAATATACCGTTAAATCCTTTACTCCGGTAACAGACGTGTTCAGTTCAGCAGTCCAAAAGAGTTAATCTAATCACCATGTATGTTAACAGCAGTTTAAGACAAATATAGTGTAATTTAACGGAAGATTATGGGAGAGAAGGGACGGGATTTTTAAGTGATCAGAGGGCACAGCAGCTCTGTCTCTTGGCTCCTTCCAGTGTTCATTTTCTGGTACTGCGCAAATCTCACAGGCATCTCTTCAAGGGGCTGTTTTCAGTATGCGGAACCGACAGAGGACGTCCCAGCTGGGCCTGCTGTTCCTGGCCTCCCAGCTGTATCAGGTGGGTCTGGACAACATCCCGCCTGTCACCCTGGGTGTCCTGGCTCTCAACGTGTACCTTTACCTGTTTCCTGCGGCTCCACTGATGAAGGTAATTCACTAATAATATACAGTATATTTATTAGCCCATTTAAAAATGTACAGAACTCAGCACCTGTACCATCTTCTGCCTTCAATGATACAGTATTGAGCTGGCATTATTAGCACTAGTATGAACACTACCATTTCTCCAACCTTTAGGCCTGTGTGAGTGTCCAGCAGGCCTACTGGTTGCAAGACTGGCGCCGCCTTCTGCTGTCCCCTTTGCACCATGTGGATGATCTGCATCTCTACTTCAACATGGCATCATTCGTCTGGAAAGGCATAAAGCTAGAGCGACGGTTGGGTGGAGCCTGGTTCCTCTACCTACTGTCAGTCTTCTCTCTGCTCACCGGGATAGTTTATCTGGTTTTGGAGGCACTGTTAACAGAGCTCACCCAGGACCAGTCCTACAGCATGAGTTGTGCCGTAGGCTTCTCAGGTACAGACGGATCCACAGAACTCTGAAATGGCATTCAGTGTAACTGGACTCAAAGGATGAACTAATCCAATTTTACTGCTACACAAAAATGTGCTAAGTTTACTTGTATCATCATATGTCTTCACTACATAGCCTGTCACAGTCTTTTTTAACCCCAGCCCTGCCAACACTTCCTGACCCCCTGTTTATTAACCTACATTAATATGACTGTGTTTCTAGGTGTCCTGTTTGCACTGAAGGTGCTCAGTAACTATTACCACCCAGGCGGTGTGACCTATGTGATGGGTTTCCCTGTGCCTAATCGCTATGCCAGCTGGGTAGAACTAGTGCTGATCCACATAACATCACCTGGGTGAGTTAGCAGTCAGAAATATTTAGAACTCACTTCTCAAATATATTGAAGAGATGCAAGATGTTGTCTGATGCTATGAATTAAAGTATCCACTAGATGGCAGTGTTTGATTAGTTAGGAGTTAACCTGCACTCTCCTTCTCCAGGACCTCTTTCATTGGTCACCTGGCAGGTATCCTGGTGGGGCTGCTCTACACTTCTGGGCCACTGAAGACCATCATGAAGAAATGTGGAGGTCTGAATTCATGTGTGTTACTTTTTTGATTTAGGTCATATAGTGGCCCTACTGGCAGCTCTAATTTTTAGTGACATTATCAATAGAAGTTTACTAAGTGATTTAACTTGTAGAACTATTCTAGCACTGGAGACAGCTTTGAGTTTATGTGCACATTTGTGTGCCTCACTCTAAATCCACATGCAAATCTAAATCCATTACTAACATTCTTTTTTGTACTGAACTAGTTGGTTTATTAATGTTTTCACCAGAGTTTGTGTCATCGAATGGATATAACTCCCGACCCGGAGTGTACTACAGCTCTTCAGGCTCTACAGGTACCAAAGTTACCATATGTAGTATATACAAGACCAAAACATACATTGAATTTGATCCTTGGTTCATCAACACAACTGAAGAAAATTACACAGTTACAGTACCATTAATGTCCACACCCTGTCATCATCGATGGTCCGCTCATGACCATACATGCACCCGTTTCTGTCTTTATGATTCTGCTACCAACCCTATCTACCTTTTCTCACCCCTGTGTGTGTATATGTTGCAAAAAATGTTCATCTTTACCCAATCGTAAGGTGTGTGTGTGTAATGCAAAGGTCATTGTGTACGTGCTTATCAAAAATGTGTCTCAACCTTCTACTCAAACACGTAGTCAAAACATGTTTTCGTAACTAGTTATTCTTGAAGTGTAGACAGAAAACCTCCAAAGTAAAGGCATCCCACAGTATTTACCTGTGTCTGGTAGCTCGTGCCACCTCACCAGGTACACACTTCTCAAACTATGAATAAACACATAAGATTGAGAGAAACAATACACACTAATGTATAACATAATTCTACACATATATGCATACTACATACTATCTTTATGGTCAGTACTGGGTGCCATGTTCCTTCATGACCATAGACATACACACACTGGTTTCATTTTACTCAGTATCACCCCCCCCACATCCTGCTGCTGTAAACACTTACTGGAGCATCAATGGGGATTAATTAATGACTAAAGGTTGTTGCCAATTAAAACACAGTTTAATCCTGTTTGAGTCACGTGTGCTGAAAAGTGTTTTATAACATTAGAGCGATTTTTCAAAGAA